TTACACACACAACCACACAACAATTCAACGGATAGGTTCTTGACTAATCTCAATTGGTCTTGATGGATTCTCGAATGTTTTAGTCTCAATTAGTCTTGAGCAATCCCGACATGTTGTAGATCGGTCTCGATGGGTTCTTGATTGGTCTTGACGGGTTCCCAATCATTATTGATAAAACTGAAAGTGATAGGCTATGGTTTTATAGCACAAACACATAATAAATCAATTAATAGGTTCTTGAAGGAAAATGAAGGTGGCAGGTTATGGTTTTACACACATAAACACACACCAAGTCAATGAATGAATTATCAACCGGTATTGATAGGTTCTTGATCGGTATCGATAGGTTCTCGCTAGGTCTCAATGAGTGTTGGGTTACGGTGATGAAGAACGTGGTGACAAGTTATGTACTTACGACGTTGATGAAAGCGTTAAGAAGATGATATCGAGTTACGGAATTACGGTGTCGAACTGTTATACACACCTAAACATATATGAATATTCATAATTAAAATTACTCATATATAACATTTCACATAAAAGTCGGTTAAAACAAAAAAAAAAAGTACTATATTGAGATGGATGTCATATCGATAAGAATGAAATTCTCGTTTTTTTATATAATTTGTTCAATTAAAATATTAGTATTTATTAAGATAATTTAGTTTAAACTAAGAGAGTAAAATTTTTTAATTAAAAAAATAAAAGGAAAATTCGTTAAATGTGACCATGATTGAAACGGACTTATTTTTTTTTTAACCTATAATCATCTTAATTAGCAATTTTAATGAAAACGTCTATTTAATGTGAGTGTTTGGATCAAATATGGATGAAAGGACAAGATTTGTCTAATGGTTAACAATGAAAATTTGGTTTTTATTTGAATTTTCGTGTGTATGTGTGTGTATATATATATATATATATATATATATACAGAGAGAGAGAGAGAGAGAGAGAGAGAGAGAGCCGGGGGGAGGGGTAAGACGAAAACCTCTAAAAAAATGAAAAATTAAGGAACACTCTAGTAATAATTTATCTGAAAAATATACGATGCATACAAGTAATTGAACATGTTTCTTGGTTTTATGCATATGTGTATACCAGACAAATTGCTTACAAATTGCTTGTATACATATATGTATACCGTCTACAAAGACGATTACCAGAGTGTTCCTCAAATTTTCAATTTTATATATATATATATATATATATATATATATTCATGATGAATATCATATTGATATATGAATATTGAAAGTTATTGTATACACGATTACACGTGAACATATATAAAAATTCAAGATGGATAATGTATATTCATAATGAATATTATATTGATGTATGAATACTGAAGATTTATTATACATACGTGAACTATATATATATATATATATATATAT